CTTTTTTTTAGCTTCTCCAAGAAGCTTGGCCCTTTTGCTCCAAGCTTCTAAGAGAAACTAACCTTTCCCAAACACCGGGATACGTCCCTATGTTTCTTGCATGATCGTAAGTTATGCTCGGCTTTGTGCATTGTCTTGCATTTTGCTCTCGCCCTCGGACGCATATCTTTGTCCGCTGCTTGTATGCTTTGTCTAAGTCTTCGGCCATGTCAAAAATGGGTCGTCTCTGGGCTTTGACACACACTCCCGTCATTCTTACGACTTTCGACTTCTGTCAAAGAGGGGCAGCTGTAGTCACCCCATTTTTGACCGTCCTCACGACTTGGCCGTCACCGTTTGAACACTCGGTGATCGTCCTTGTTTGTGTTCGTCTTGAGTTCCCGGTGGTCTCGGCTACGCGCCATGCCTCAGGATCTCTCGACTCGACTGTTTTGTGTTTGGTTTTCCACCAAACACTTGTGTTTTGCCTTTGAGGGGCAGGGAGTGGCTTGATGGCCATCCCCACACATCACCGGCCATGTCTTGAGGCCACCGGCTGTGTTTTGTTTCCATCGGCCAAATGTTTGGCCGGTCGGCACTCTGTTTGGTCGGCCGGCCATTGATTTTGGTCAATCGGCCACTTTTTCTGGCCGAGCCCTATTCTTGAGAGGGTTTGAACCTTTTGAACCCCAGTTTGAGAGGGTCTGAACCTTTTGAACCCCTGTTTTAGCTTCTTGTGGAAGGTTAAACCTTTTGAACCCTTGGTTCTAGCTTCTTGAGGAAGCTTGAACCTTTTGGACCCTTGGTTTTAGCTTCTTGGGGAAGGTTAAACCTTTTGAACCTTTGCTCCAAGCTTCTCCAAGAAGCTTGAACCCTTCTAAGCTTCCAAGAGAAGTTTGCACATTTTGCACCTTTTGCACAAGGTTCTAGGAGAAGCTTGACCCCTTTGCCTAGCTACTCCAGGAAGCTTGGCTCTTTAGCTCCAAGCTTCTAAGAGAAACTTGACCCCCTCGACCCTTTTGCCTAGCTTCCCTTAGAAGCTTCAAGCCTTCATCTTCTCTTAATATAGAGGGCCTCTCCTCCCGTTTCAGGGATTAGAAAATCTGATATATATCATGTATATATCACTCTCTCTCTATATATCTCCCTCTCTCTCTACATTTGTGTGGGTTAGAGGGTGCAAAAGGGTCTAGTTCTTGGCCATTTGAACTACACCGGGATATGTCCCTAGGACTCGGTGATCGTCCTTGTTTGTGTTCGTCTTGAGTTCCCGGATGTGGGATACGTCCCTATGTTTCTTGCATGATCATAAGTTATGCTCGGCTTCGTGCATTGTCTTGCATTTTGCCCCTGCCCTCGGGCGCATATCTTTGTCTGCTGCTTGTATGCTTTGTCTAAGTCTTCGGCCTTGTCAAAAATGGGTCGTCTCTGGGCTTTCACACTCACTCTCGTCATTCTTATGACTTTCGAGTTCTGTCAAAGAGGGGCAACTGTAGACACCGCATTTTTGACCGTCCTCAAGACTTGGGCGTCACCGTTTGAACACTCGGTGATCGTCCTTGTTTGTTTTTGTCTTGAGTTCCCGGAGGTCTCGGCTGCGCGCCTTGCCTCAGGATCTCTCGACTCGACTATTTTGTGTTTGGTTTTCCACCAAACACTTGTGTTTTGCCTTTGAGGTGTAGGGAGTGGGTTGGTGGCCATCCCCACACATCACCGGCCATGTCTTGAGGCCACCGGCTGTGTTTTGTTTCCATCGGCCAAATGTTTGGCCGGTCGGCACTCTGTTTGGTCGGCCGGCCACTGATTTTGGTCAATCGGCCACTTTTTCTGGCCGAGCCCTTTTCTTGAGAGGGTTTGAACCTTTTGAACCCTGTTTTAGCTTCTTGTGGAAGCGTGAACCCTTTGAACCCTTAGTTCTAGCTTCTTAAGGAAGCTTTTGAACCTTTTGAACCCTTGGTTCTAGCTTCTTGAGGAAGCTTGAGCCTTTTGGACCCTTGGTTTTAGCTTCCGGGGGAAGCTTGAACCTTTTGAACCTTTGTTCCAAGCTTCTCCAAGAAGCTTGAACCCTTCTAAGCTTCCAAGAGAAGCTTGAACCTTTTGCACCTTTTGCACAAGGTTCTAAGAGAAGCTTAACCCCTTTGCCTAGCATCTCCAAGAAGCTTGGCCCTTTTGCTCCAAGCTTCTAAGAGAAGCTTGACCTCCGTGACCCTTTTGCCTAGCTTCCCTTAGAACCTTCAAGCCTTCATCTTCTCTATTAATAGGGGGCCTCTCCTCCCATTTCAAGGGTTAGAAAATCTGATATATACTCCATCATCAACCTAAGGATCTTGGAGGCTATTTTCAGAGGTTGGAGGTCTGGGTTTTGGGTCTCAAAGCAGCTGGTTTTGCTGAAGCTACAAGGGTAACACACTTTACCCTCTTTTGGTCTTTATTTTGCTTCATCTTTTAGCCATACTTAGAAGCATTTTCGAGCTTTGTCATAAATTGAAAAAAGTATTATTTTGAGCTCCTTTTGAAGTTTGTTTAAGATCACTTTGGTGTTTGGGGTTGTTTATCCCCTCTTAGGCCTTGTTTGGCCTCATTTTTGTGCCTTTTTTGTGAGCTTCGGGACCACTTTGTTTGGGCCTCCTCAGTGGTCGGGATGGTGCTTTAAGGTCCTAAGAAGGAGAGGGCTATCCCCTCTCCTTGTTGCCTTCAATGTTGGCCATTTTTGCCTCATGTGTGAGCACCTTGTTTAAGTTCATGTTGGCCATGTCTTAGCTGGTATTTGGTGTTATTTTGCCATGATATAGAAATTTTTGAAGTACCCCATTTTTGACAGTCCTCAAGGCCTGGCCGTCACCGTTCGAACACTCGGTGATCGTCCTAGTTTGTGTTCGTCTTGAGTTCCCGTAGGTCTCGGCTACGCGCCTTGTCTCAGGATCTCTCGACTCGACTGTTTTGTGTTTGGTTTTCCACCAAACACTTGTGTTTTGCCTTTGAGGGGCAGGGAGTGGCTTGATGGCCATCCCCACACATCACCGGCCAAGTCTTGAGGCCACCGGCTGCGTTTTGTTTCCATCGGCCAAATGTTTGGCCGGTCGGCACTCTGTTTGGTCGGCCGGCCATTGATTTTGGTCAATCGGCCACTTTTTCTGGCCGAGCCCTTCTCTTGAGAGGGTTTGAACCTTTTGAACCCCTGTTTTAGCTTCTTGTGGAAGCTTGAACCCTTTGAACCCTTAGCTCTAGCTTCTTAAGGAAGCTTGAACCTTTTGAACCTTTCGAACCCTTGGTTCTAGCTTCTTGAGGAAGCTTGAACCTTTTGGACCCTTGGTTTTAGCTTCTTGGGAAGCTGGAACCTTTTGAACCTTTGCTCCAAGCTTCTCCAAGAAGCTTGAACCCTTCTAAGCTTCCAAGAGAAGCTTGCACATTTTGCACCTTTTACACGAGGTTCTAAGAGAAGCTTGATCCCTTTGCCTAGCTTCTCCAAGAAGCTTGGCCCTTTTGCTCCAAGCTTCTAAGAGAAGTTTGACCCCCTTGACCCTTTTGCCTAGCTTCCCTTAGAAGCTTCAAGCCTTCATCTTCTCTATAAATAGAGGGCCTCTCCTCCCACTTCAAGGGTTAGAAAATCTGATATATATCATATATATATATCACTCTCTCTATATATATCTCCCTCTCTCTCTACATTTGGGTGGGTTAGAGGATGCAAAAGTGTCACGCCCCAAACCTGCCCCTAAAAGTTTGGGCATGACCATTTCAGAAACGAACACTTAACCTGTTATATATAATATATGGGGCCTGAACGGAAGCATTAAATATAAAAATTTGACAATATAAACAATCTCCATTGAGCTACTACTATCATGCCAGGATCTCAAACTTTAAACAGACAAATAAAATCTAAAACATACACCTGAATGTCGGATATGTATATACATATATATATAAGCCCAGCTCTATAACTGGGCATACATCAAAAACATTTCGGAAGAAAGTATTATACACATTCAAACTTAGGCTAACAACTAAAGTGCAAAACCTAAGTTCGTCAAAACTTCATGAAATTAAGAGCAGCTTCTCTTAGGCTTGGACATGGAACGGTTGACCAAAGAGGACAAGCGTCATGGCTTAGGACTGACCACTTGGTTGGTTACCTACAGAAACAGACATAACATAGGGTGAGCCAAGCTCAGTGAATAGTATGATACATAAACCTAATTTAATTCTACATAAATTACATGTATTTAACACCAAGGCCCTACTTCTTTATTAAATTCAAAATAAACCACAAAAACTAGTACATGTACTCTAATATTATTAGTACCATCAATCTTGTAAGATATATATATATACACCTATGGAAAAACAATAACTTCACAAAGAGGGTAAAAAAAAGAGAGATTGAAATGGAAAAAGATAAGTAGATGTTGAGCTTAAAAATCACACACAACACCTTTTTCATTATTTGACGAGATTACATGCTCCTCGTAATTATAATTTCAAGGATGATATGAAAGTGTTTTCCCCACTTGTGGAAGTCCAACCTATTACACCATCGCTTGATAAACTTTGGGATCAGCATGAGGGTGCAAAAAAAGATCATCTTCGAGTTGATAAGAAACCTTCTTTGCTCTTTCCTTCATCGAATAGGAGATTTCCTCTTTCAGAGGAAGGAGGTGGCAGTGATCATCCAATTTTTGACTGGAAACCTAGTTCAACTTCCAAACAGGTTTACTTTTTGCCCCTCTCTAATTCCCTTTCAATTTTATTGAATCACTTGTTTGCTGCCTGACATTTACTAATTTAGATTGAGAGCATTAATTACTCATCATTTAAATAATTCTGTATATCTTTCCAATTTATCAAAAAAAAAAAAAAATTCTGTATACCTTTCCACTTGAGGATCAAAATTGACCTTTCAGTCCATGATGCCCCTAACATCATATTGAGATGGGAAGTGAACTGTTTGGCTATAATTATTTCATTTTCTTTTTGTATTGTTTTGGTTTTCCCTCTGTCCCTCTGGCTATAAGTATTTCATTTTCTGCAACTAGCCAGACAAGTATGAGTTACCTAACAAGTTCAAACCTGATCTCGGCAAATTTACGCAACAGAGACAACTCCTCCAATCAAGAGTCTTCACTGGGATTTCCAGAGCATATCCCCTTCAGTTCTATGTCCCTTTCTCTAGGAACAAAAAGTACTACTTTAGGGCAGTCTAACCTTGATTCTCTGGGGTCAGCATTAAACCACCCTCGAAAATTTACCACTTATGCTGAAAGGATGAGTACTAATCTGGCCTTTAGTGATGGAACATCCCTCTCGGTGGGTTCACCAAAAACAAAGAAAACAGGAGCTGAAACGAGAGAAGAACTGTTGAATAGCTTGTTATCAAGGACGAACACATTATCTGCTACAGAACAAAGGACTCTTCCATATGTGAATGTAAGATCACCATCATGGATTTATCTAATTTCTTGTTTGTACAATTTTCCTGTGCCTCCATCTATTAAATTTAGGTGTGAACTTGACTTACATTTGTGAGCTTAAATTTAGATACATAACTGGAACTGTGAGGTAGACTTACACTTTGTGATAATTCAACATCTTAACCTTTCACCCAGATTTCTTAAGGAATTTGTCAAGTTTGAAAATATGGTGTTTTGAGAATTGTCTTAATTGTCTATAGGCTCGTGAATTTGTGAATGAGCTTCAAGCTAGTACCAAAGCATCAAGAAATCCAACCATGTGGCCTGAAGCTTCCACAGGAGCCAGCCTAAGTGCAAACAATGCAGACACTTCTACAGTTTCAGAAGTGTACACCAAAATGCTTACCATTTTTATTCCACTCCTTGTAGATGAGATTTCGATTTTTCTACCAATTTTTGGAAACACAACTAATATTTCTTTTTCTTTTTAGTGTTTAAACTTGAGTTCTTATTACTTAAACTGCAGAGTTCTTTCTTTGCACATTTCATGTGCTTTGAGGTTCCTGCACTTGTACCACCTGGAGGTGTTGCCAGTGGCAACAAAACTGGATTGAATAATGATGACACTAATGATGATGATCTGGGTATTTGGATATTGATGAAAATGATGGCAAAACTGGTAATTCTTTTCTAAATAGTCCTCATTATGTTCAGCCCTGTTAAAGTCTGTTCATCCCTGGTTATCAAATTTTGTAGGTAAAAATTCTGCAGAGCTAGCGGCACTAAATGAATCACTTCAGGAACTGCTTGACGGAATACAAGTAATGTTTAAATTATTTTAATTTTTATTGGGCATTTAATAGTTACTAGATTATCCAATTGGCTCTGGTTGAGATATATATTCAAATATACTGTTAGAAGTAATTTAGGATTATGCAGCTTTTTCTTCCTCATTACTCCTTGTTTCTGTTCCGTGATTGATAAACTAATGACTTTAAGGTGTGTAAGAGAGATCTTGGATCAAGTTTATCTTTCCACACACTTCTGTTTTCATGTTTGTTTTTTAGTTAGAGAAAGAAGTAACACCGTCCTCGAAAGTACGTGCAGATGTTGTAAGAAGTGGATTCTTGAATACCCAAAAGGGTAACGAATTGTTCTCATGAAATTCCTGTCATGCATTATTTTAGGGATTAAACTTGAAAGCTTAAGTCAAAGTAACATTCTGATGTTTCAGGAGCTTCTGATGGATGCCAAGATGGTAACAAGGTATCTGGTCAGCTGCATAGATATGAGCATCTGAGTAGAATGGCAGCAATTGACGAGTCAGAAAGCCTTTTTTGATATCGATGATGTTGAGGTATGCTGCAAGTTTTAAAGCAAGTTGTGTTCTTAACTTAATTGGTAAATGTTACCTGATTGACTTATCAGATCAGTGAATTTATAACTTCGAAACAATGCCAAATTTTTTACAGGTTGACAAATATCTGCACAGTAAGGAAGAGATGCATTACAAAAAGATTTTTTGGGAACAAATGAATAGTAAACATGAAACGGTAATGCTGCCTTTTCTTTGTTCCTTTCTTTCAAATATTACCCTCTTCAAGTGTAGGTAATTTGGAGCAAAAGTTGGTTAATAGTCATGATCATGATGCTGTAAATACCCATGATATGTAGCTAATGAGATGAAATTGATTTGACAACAAAACCAATAACATTTGTTTTATTGTACTCACGGCCTTTTGACTGCTATAGTCTTTCTGTAAGTAAAATCATAGAAGAACGAGCACTAGTTTAGATGTGGAGTCCTTTGAATGTATTGATTACACAAATAAACACATGTAAAGCCCTTTGTTGTATTGTTGAATATGTTGCCAAGTTAGATATTGAATACATACATTTGTCTGATCTCAAAGAGTGCCATTCAATTGAAGCATGTAAAACTCAGGAGATTGAGACACGCTGTCCTGCTTCATTTTCTGGTAGGAATATTTAACCCTCATTTCACCGTAAAACTGTTCTAGTTTGCACCTCAGAGGATCCTCACATCCGTTCACTTTGTCTCTTCTATTCGCACCACTTTTTGCACTGAAATGATTTGAATAAAAAATCTAAATAACCATAGGGGGGAGAGAGAAAACATTAATTCAGAGTTCTGAACTTATATAGTAGAAAAATGTCGGTAGTTCATACACTACATAGCATGTGAAATGCTGAAAGCTCATGGAATACCCTATTAGATGCAGAGATAAATCTCCTAGTATGTCATCAATGCCGCATTCTTTGTACTCTCGGAAGTGCTTTATGGTTTGATTATGAGATGTGAGCCAAACCTATCCATTTTGTGGCCATATGCACCATAGTTAATGGGAAAACTAAATAACCAAATCCAACCGATGTGTATTGGGCCAGTTTGGTTTGGTTAGTGATGGAAACAAATCAAAAATAAGAATTGGAAGGGTAGAACAAATTGACAAATACCAATCCCCACAACACAAATGGTCTCGACCTCAAGTTAATGGTCACTTGAATATAAACTTACCTTCCCACTGAATTTTACAAGACTTCAGCTCCATTGCAATGACTCCAACCAACGTTGTCCTATGGTAATTCAATGGTGCACTTAACAAAGGAAACTTCAGTTCTTCCTGCCAATGAAGGTTGCAGCCCTTTTTATAAATGAAAACGAGACGTGGAGGAAAATACAGTCGTCATTGTCATTTTTTAATGTTTTTTTTCAAATACAGTTTCTAAAACAGGTAATTGTATGATGATAAGCCGCGTGTGTTTGGCTCAAGTTAGATGGAAGGATTGAAATAATCATTTGGTGGGATTATTCATCATATTTACATGAATTCTCAATTTCAAATCTAACAAATCAGGTTACAATATGATGCCATGTTATTTTACTGTTATTTTTGTTCCATTAATCTGAAATTTATTACTTGCTATGAGACAAAGCTACACTGAGAGTTGGCTAATGTATTTCTATACATCCATTTCAATGTCTTTACAGAGCCAAGGTGCCGAGAATGCCAACACGGAAGGCATAATTGCAAAATGTGATACAAAGTTTAACAAGAAGTTTAGCACCGACAGATTGAGTCTGAAATAAGAAAGTATGATAATGAATTTGACCACAAGACTGATTACGGTGAAGGTGTTGAAAGCTGCGGAGCCTGTGGTGTGGATTATGATTATGAGGATTGACATGAGATATGAAGGGCTTGGCTTTCTGTTAAAATTTTAAAATTTATTATTTGATGTTACATTAGTTTATGAGAAAATTTTGTAAAAATATATTTTATTTTTCTATAATTTTTTCTTTCCTGACACATTCATCACATGACGATGAATATGCTATGAACTTGTGCCCTTACATAGCTTGAGAAAGAAATAAAAGAAAATTTTGATATTATTTATTAGAGAGGTTTTGCACACCTTGTTTTCTTTTTTGGTAAACAAAGCATAACAATATATTAAGATAAAATAGTTCTGGAGTATTCAGCCCCTACAACATCTGTTAATTTGAATGATGCTTTAAAATTATAGGTTTATTATGGATTGAATGAATTATTAGGAATTACAGGTGTATTGTTTTCCTGCTTTGGCGACCAATTTATTAGTCGCGACGAATAAATTATTTTTTTTCGCAAAAAATGACAATTGCCGACCAAGAGTTTTGGTCGCAAAAAATACATCTATTGCCGACCAAAAATTTTGTTGGTCGTGGAAACTCACTTTTGCCGACCAACAGTTTTGGTCGCGAAAAGTAACAATTGGCGACCAAACTAATTTTGGTCGCAGAATGTCACAATTGGCGACCAAAAAATTTGGTCGCGAAATGTCACAATTGGCGACCAAACTTTTTGGTCGCGAAATGTGTCAATTGGCGACTAAGAAATTTGGTCGGCAAAAGGCGACTATTCGCGACCAAAGTGTTTTAGCGACAAAATGAATTAGTCGCGGTAATTAAATATTTAGCGACCAAAAATTTAGTCGGCAAATCCAACTTTTGCCGACCAACGAAAATTTTGGTCGCGAATTACTTTTGCCGACCCTCAATTGGCGACCAAACTAGCGACCAAAAAAATTGGTCGCGGATAACTTTTTCCGACCAAAAATACACTTTTAGCGACTAATTTTTTTGTTGCTAAAAATGTTAATTCTTGTAGTGTATTAATTTATTCCATTCCCCATTAACATGCCTGGGTGGTACTTCAAAACAATTGTAATTTATGAAAATAGTAGGATTATGTGGGCTCGCCTTTTTTCGCACCCTCTCCTTTCGGAAAGGGTTTAAAAAGAAGGCCTCACAGTTCGGACTCCCGCAGTTCTGAATCTAGCCTCACAAGTGCAATGTGAAACTGATAATCATCAAAGAGTCCAAATCCGGCAAACCTTTTTGGAAAATCGATTTTAAATCAAATAACGCCAAAATTGGACTGCTTTGCCAGATACAGAGTCGCCATCTAAATATTTTATTTTTGGAAAAATTTAGGAAATCCTAACTCGTGCCAAAGGCCACGTGTTCGTCATCACCAAAGTTGCTTCGGCTCGAGAACTTGGGTACGAGAGGAGAAGGTCCTGAAATGAGCACCCTCGTTCGCCCGATCAAAGATCGACCTCTATTAATTCTGATATGATGTTTTATAAACATTGTGTTCTTATTCTGATTATTTGCTAACTTTACTATGTGACGCGCACAAGCAAGTATAGACTAGTCGCAAGACTTAGAACAATTCAACTCATATTTGTTTTGCGAAAATGGTTTGAATTTGACACCCTCAAGTGGGCTTAAAAGTGCAGATTTGCCACCAAACATAGTGGGCTTAAAATATGATTTTGCCACAACAAAGTGGGCTTAAAACATATATTTGTTGAATTGTTTCAATTCAAACAACAAGCCTTTATCTACAGGCATTCATGCAGTTAAGCAAATAAGCACATAGCCTCATGGCGAGTACGCGAAAC